TTACCAAAGCAGGGGGAAAGGGCGCGATCTTCAAAAATTTTGCTGGACAACAACAACAACAACAACAACAAACAAAAAACAAAAAATAAAACCGCAACATTCGTCTTGCGGAAAACAGCCGTAGGAACGATCGTCTTGCAAGGCACAAAAACCCTAGCCAGACCCATTCGTCTAGCGAGTTTTTCGTGCCGTGAGACATTCGTCTAGCAAGGCACCACTGTATTTAAAAGCTCAAAACAGTAAGTATAGAAATATAATAAAGAATACTTTAAGAACAGTGTGTAAGAGAATGTGCCTAACTCGTTTTCTTAATCTTATATATGTGTCAAACTGAGGCAGGAAACCTCTTACATTGTGCCTCTTACAGTTGATGTAATAACATGTATATTTCTAATCACTCTAACTGCTCAGAATATGGAGGTGGCACTGTAAATACCTCACATAACTTGGAACCAGCATTTCCTCTAAGGTGCACGGGCGCACATGACCAAGCTGGTATTTTCACCCATTTGATTCCAATCATGGCCAGAATCCTGCAAGCAGAGGATGAAGCCTCCGTGCAGCACTCCAGAGTATTAGAGGGAATGTTGCTTAGAACCTTAATAGGGTTGCCATGTCAGAATCAACTTGACAATATATGACATAGACCATGAAATACCCTTAGTAACCTTGGGACAGGTACACTCCCAGCCTGACCTCCATTCCACTACTGTTTGGAGGACACATACTTTCACATGGTTTTTTAACAGAATGCTAGAGTCTTTTCCCAAGCCAAATATTGAGAAATCCTCTGATGAAGCAATTGTGCAGTCTAGTGTCCCCTATTTTAAATGTTTTAAGGTAAAGGATCATCTTGGTTGACTTATACATTTATAAAGCAGAAAATCTGCAGACTTTGCAGTATTTGGCAACACTTCCTATTTTTCCTTTAGTGTGGGTGCCTAGAATTCATAAACGTTCGTCATGTGGCTGTTACTTCAGAAGATGTGGTAGTTTGTGAAGGAAAAGCAAATAAGCTGTAATACCAACAAGTTTTATCAGTTGTTCATTGGTTTAATGATATTGTTTGCCTTCTTCATACTAAAGTGTTAGAATCCTGTTTTGTGATTGATACTCAAACAGGACAAGGGGAGCTGGGTTTGTATCTTTTTTGTATATTTTGTATTAGCGAGGTAAGGATAAAAGAGCCTGTGCACGAGCTTGTCAGTAGGGAAGTGGCATTTGTATTTTTTGGGCTTAATAGTTTATTTTAACGGCTTCATAAATTAGCTTTGCTTAATAGCAAAACCTATTCCCCCTGTCTCTCGGAGAGGGAAAAGGCTTCAAAGGGGGGAGGGGGCACCTTTTATTGCAGGGTCCTGTTGAGGAGACAGTAAAAGAGCACCAGACATTGCCTTCCATATCCATGCCATGCAGCCCCATTATACACAAAGAAAGGTTTACCTTCAGCCCCCATTCACAGGAAATCTGTCATGTGTAACAGATGCTTACATGGCTGAGTGCATGTACTGCAAGAAGGTACTCAAGTATGGGCAGGACTTTGCCTTTCCAGGAGTAGTATGCTCAGCTACTTAAGATTCAGCACAGACATTGCTGCTGGCAGATGAAGTGGATACTGTACTAGGAAGGCAAATGACTTCCTCATTATGAAGGGTAAGAGCCATCGGAGGTCAGAGATTGGGCTACCAACCGAGGGAAACAGGGAGCTAGATGGGTAAATAACAAGAGGTGGGAGGCAGCAAATGCCAGCCTCACATCTCAAGAATATGTCCCGGGCTACCATAAAGGAGCTTGAAGGGATGCAGGAAAAGACCTTTTGCAAACAAACACATGCCAGGTTTACTCATTGCCGTGAGAAGATGACAGCCCTGGATGACCAGCCATGCTCTCTGGTGTATGACACTCATTTCTATAGGTTTCTGGCAGAACTGGCACTCTGTTACTAATTTCCATCCGAAATGACAATAACATCTACCGTCTTCTGCTTCTCTGAGCAATATACTTAAATAGGTATTCTGAATTTTGAACATTTTCTGAAGATAACAAGTGAATGTGAACCAATGTGTTACTTTTATTATTTATGTAGTTAGTTTAAAAATTTTATCCCACCTTTCTCCTTAGAAAGGACATAAAGAAGCTTACATCATTAAAAAGACAATGCAGTGGTGCCTCACAAGACGAATTTAATTGGTTCCACGGTCAATGCCGTCTTGTGAAAAAATCTTGCGAGGCGCGTTTTCCCATAGGAATGCATTGAAATCTAATTAATGCATTCCTGTGGGAAATTTTTTTAAAAAGTCACTTACCAGGTAGGGAGCTGGGGAAGCACCATCGGAGGGCAGGCCGGGGGGGGGCTTGCTGCGATCACTGGCTTTGGAGGTCCCCCGACAGTCCTCTTGATGGTGCAGGAAAAGCCTCTGAAGTTGGCATGTGCGGTTTCGGGGCACCCCCGCCAGTGTTCCGAGTAATGTCTTCATGTCTTTGGGGAGATTTCACAGAAATTCTTTGTTTCCCTATTTTTCTTCAATAATTAAAGATATAAAATAAATGGTAGAGACTCTTATCTTACATCATTTCACCTGCAACAGAAAGAGTCTCGGAGGCTGTTGACATTTCTCTTTCTAGAAGTCCAGGCTTACTTGCAGTTTCTGAATGGACTAGAAAATTCCTGTATTTTCATTTAGAACATATCTGGCATACAAATGAGAAATTTAAATTAAATTGATGGTTTCAATTGTATATTTTTTATCAGTTTAAATCAAGGTTATTTAAATATAATGCAGCCAGTGTCCATATATTCAGAATTAAAGTATGAGGGTAAGTTTTTGAAAATTCTTTAACTTAGACATGAACAATCTAGTTCCTCCTGAGTTTTGAGCTGTACAGTAATTCATTTCAGAATCTGCCAGCATGTTCAGAGAATACGACAGTTTAGACATGTGAGCCTAGAAACCTTTAATCTATTGAGGTATTCCATTCAATCTTCAACTTTTTGTATGGCCTGTGAACAGAATCTGGCTCAGTACCTAGATTGTAAAACTGAATATGAACCTTTGTGTATTCAAACAAATGTGCTCTTGAAAGGTCTTCAAGTATCAGCATCAGTGGAGAATTCAATTAGAGACCTGGAAGAACATCTTTGAATTAATACATGCTTAAAATTGAAAGCAAAGTAAACAGTTAAAATTAATAATACAGTGTGGTAGCAAGCATTTCTTAATTATCACTTGGAGTGACATCTAAGCAGCATTGAGGAGACAGGACTCTTAAGTGGGTATGCAGATCAAGATTTGTTTATAGTTGCAGTACATTGAGATTATTTCTTGAGCCAAAACAATAGGAAGGACAGATGAAAATATTCCTAAATGTAACTGTTATTTCTTAATTTCTAGATGGGAATGATGAACAACCCCAGTCCTTATGTCCAACCATACAGTCAGAATGCTGGACAACCAATTGGAGCCAGTGGACTTGGTCCTCAGATGCAAAATAAGCCGGTATTACCTAACAGCTTGCCACAGTTCCCGATGGACAAGAAGCCAGTGCCTGGTCCAGTAATGCCTAATATGGTAGGTATTAATTCCTGCATTGAACTTGTGTTAACACATTTATGAGTCCTCGTTATTTCTAACTTAAGGTACTGTATAATGAACTTTTGTTTCTCTCTTACTGTTAGCTACTGTGAAAGGGGCAAAATTAAACCTCAATTGGAGGAGATAAAATGAATGCTGTAAGGGGGGAAATGAAAGACCTGGAGGGGATAATTTTTTTATTGAGCTACAGTCTCATTTAAACCGCTTTTGTTTGTTTGTTTTTGCTTTGTCCATCTTTCTGCCCTCTGTCATAACATTCTACTGAGATACTTAAGGTTTGGCATTATCTAACACTTTTAGGAGAAATAGACAATGCCATTTCTGCCTTATCTTGGTTATGAGATGCAAATAACAACCTGTGATGTCTTGTAAAACAGTGATTATGAGCTTGTCAATAATGTGGGCAAAACTGTCAATCTAAAGTGAAAGCTGCTAGTCTATCATACTTCGCTGTCCGGATAAGTGAAGCTTCCAATCAGCAGGCGGAACTCTTCCGCATAGTTTGTGATCTATCTGGAGTTGGTCATAGTGATTTGCCTCCCACTAGCATCTCACCTGACCATTTTGCAGCTTTTTAAAATCAAAAGTGGAGGCCATCCACCGGGATCTTACCCCCTATTTGAAAATAGTGAATCGAGCAGAGATGTCCAGCTCTCCGTCTTGCCCAGTGAGACTTAACTACTTTCAGCCTGTGATGGCAGACATGGTGGACAGAGTGCTTGACCATTGTCATGCCACCACCTCCTCCCTTGACCCTTGCCCGGCTTCGCTAATCCGGTTTGTAAGCCGCCTAGAGTGGTCGAATAAGACCAGATAGGCGGGATAGAAATAAATAAATAAATAAACAAACGAACGAACGAACAAACAAATAAATAAATAAATAAATAAATAAAGCAGCTAGGGCTATAACATCCGAATGGGCTACAGCAATAATTAATTAGTAGGGCAAGGTTCCTCTCCCCTCAAGGAGACACTCATTCGGCCCATTAGGAGGAAACCGAACTTGGCGGCGGGTAATATTGGCAATTATAGGCCCATTGCCAATGTGTCTTTCCTTAGCAAGATAGCTGAGAGGGTGGTGGCTGATCAGTTGCAGTCTCTTCTGGATGAAACCTGTGCCCTGGATCCGTTCCAATCGGGCTTCAGGCTGCACCACAGTACGGAAACTGCATTGGTCACCGTGTTTGATGACCTATTGAGGGAGACTGACAGGGACAAAATGTTTCTGTTGGACCTCCTCGATATCTCAGCTACCTTTGATACCGTCGACCATGGTATCCTCCTGGGGAGGCTCTCTGAGTTGGGAATTGGTGGCCTGGCTTTTGACTGGCTCCGTTCCTTCTGGCTCACTCTCTGAGGGCGATCCCCAGAGAGTGCAGATTAGAGAGAGTTACTCGTCCCCGTGGAGCCTCAATAGTGGGGTTCCTCAGGGTTCGATTTTCTCTCCACTGCTGTTTAACATCTGTATGAGGCCGCTGGGAGGGGTCATCAGGGGATGTGGGGCTTCGTGTCATCAGTATCCTGATGATACCCAGCTCTACATCTCCTTTTTTCCCAACAACAGTGGATGCTGTTTCGTCCCTTGAGGGCTGCCTGGGGGTCGTTCAGCAATGGATGCAGATGAATGGACTGAGGCTGAACCCAGGCAAGAGGGAGGTCCTCAGGTGGGTGGCCCAGACATCAGTGGTTTGGGAAACTCCCTCTCTTTTGGGGGGTGACTCTTACCACCAAGAGTGAGGTTCACAGTTTGGGTATGCATCTGGACCTGGCGCTCACCATGGAAACCCAGGTGGTGTCAGTGTTCTGTTCCGCACACTTGCATCTTTGACGGATTGCCCAGCTCCATCCCTATCTTCATGTGGGGGCACTCACCACTTTGGTCCATGTGCTCGTAGTTTTGAGATTAGACTACTGTAATGTGCTCTACATGGGGCTGTCTTTGAGACACGGAAACTCCAGATGATTCAGAATACCTCAGTTTTATTTTACTCACCAGAGCAGTTTCACCCTAACAGAATCTCTCTGATAGTTTGTGTAAAATTCCGAGGAAACTATTAGTGTGAATACATGGAGACCAAGATGAAGGAAAACAGGTTGCATTTGTACTGCTAATTCTTCAGACAACCTTTTGTGTGTTCACACAACCCATAACTGATCTGATCAACCCTGTTTTGCAACTCTGTCTGAAAATGTTTCCAGGAGCTTTCCCCCTCTCTTCAACATTATATAATGTTGGAAATTCTTGGAAGTCCTGCTGAAGTTTCCAGGATTTCTTTTTGTAGTTTTCTGAGTGATGCTGAACCTTAGGGTGGACAAAGTCAAGCCCTTTTTTCTCAGAAAGTGTCTGCACACTTTCAGACACTATAAATATCTTTGAGTAGAGAATGACTGGAGGTGGGTAGGGCAGTTAAATGCCAGTTAAAGTTATACCAAGCACCAGAGCATATTTCAAGTGACAAAAATTAATTTGACTTAAATCAGTTTCCCTGAATTGACCTGTCTGAAAGTAGATTCTTTGTAGCATAATCTGAAGTCAGGAAAATTAAGAATGTTTCTAAAGCAGTGTTCCTCAACCTTTTCTGTAGTGCGGACCGGGGGGAGCCTCTGAGGGAGGTGGGGCGGCCCATTGCGCTCGCGCATTCCCCCTCCCGCCCGTCCCTGTACACACTTCCCTCCCCACAGCTGCTTTGCGCACGCGGGGCGCTTGCATGAAAGGGGGAGGGAGCGCTCGCGCTGGCAAGCGTGCCCACAAAGCAGCTCTGGAGAAGGGAGGGCATACGGAGGGGGCATGGGGAAGTCTGTCCGCGACTTCCTGGCTCTTGTCCACGCCCACACCCCTCTGCTGTTGCTGCTGGGAAGAGAGCAGCCGGAGCACCCGGCCATGCTTTTCCCTCCCAGCTCTGGTCCACCCCCACCCACCCACTGCCGCTGCCAACGCAGACCTCCCGCCCGCGCCTGCACTCACTTCTCTCCCCGGGCTCTTCCAGCCCCAAACTCCACTTCCTCACATCCCACAGGAGGTGGGTGCAGCAGCTCCGGGACATGGCACCGAGCGCGGACCAGGAGGATCGCACCCATCGCCTCCACTGCCCGCAACATCAGTCGCTGCCAATTACTGAGGCCGAGGCCGCTGTCACCCCCTCCCC